AGACTTATCTTTTAAAGACATTCATTATCTACTTGAAAGAGCAGCAGAGAATGAGAGAGATCTTCCATTCGCTGGTTCACTTCCTAAATGTCCAGGACGACCAGGGCTGGGCCAGGTTGCAGCCAGGAGCCAGGAACTCCACCTTGGGTCTCCCAGGCACCTGAGCCCTTCTCTGCTGCCTGCCGGGTTGGAAGCAGAGTAGCAAGGACTCACACCAGCTTTCCTAGATGCGGTGTGGGCATCTCAAACTGGGGTTTAACCTGTTGCCCCCCAAGTCCATTTCTCATGAACTTTTGAGCTACCCTCGAGCAATACAGTTTTATTTCCCGTAGTCCTCCTGTTGTGCGTTAGGTCTCTGGACTGGTTCATCGTCCATATCTGCCTTGTTTCCTGTGACTCCGTCTCTGCCTCTCTGCCCCCGGCCCCGCTCCTGGAGGGGTTCCGAGGCTGCCTTTTCACTTGGTTGTGTGGAAGCTCTTTAATCTGAGGTAGTCCCATTTACCTATTTTTGCTTTTGTGGCTTGATTTTTTGGTGTGATGTCCATTGATTACACATCTATTGGTAAAAATATTTGGGCCTTTTTATTTAGAGTGTGTAGTTCTCCAGGTGTGATCCATGGACCCCTGGGAGTCTCCCTGAGCCTGTCAGGGGATGGGTGATATCTAACCTGTCATAAGTAAGAGTGTCAACTGTTAAATTACAGCACACTAACATGTTATTTGCTGTTTCCCCTGTATTGATGTTTGCGCTGATGGGGCAAAAACCGTGGTGGGTAAAGCAGCTCGCGCCTCAGTGCGGAGCAAGGCGGCACCGCCAGACTGCTCCACAGTCACCGGATTCCTGCAGCTGTGCTCTCACAGCTTCTGAAAAATTAGTTTTACTTAAAAACATCTGATGAAAAGGTTAAAAAAAATTCAAATTTTTTAATTTAAAAAATTTGATTGTAGTACATTTTAACTTTTGAATATGCATCTTTTTCATATTTATTGTAACAAAGCAGGAAATAGTTGTCACCTCAGAGCGATCCCATCTCTGAGCAGGGACATGGCTAAGTGTCCCCAGTGCTGCCTGGGGACCACCAGGCACAGCGCCCTGGCTCGCCTGCCTTGGTCATCTCAGCCCCGCCTTGGTGAGTCTAAGGTTGAGAATGAGCTCAGGGAATGCAGAGAGATTTCCTGTGCCTCTCTGGAGAAAAGGAAAGAAGAGCTGTTCAGCTTGCTTTCTTTCTTTCTTTCTTTCTTTCTTTCTTTCTTTCTTTCTTTCTTTCTTTCTTTCTTCCTTTCTTCCTTTCTTCCTTTCTTCCTTTCTTCCTTTCTTTCTTTCTTTCTTTCTTTCTTTCTTTCTTTCTTTCTTTCTTTCTTTCTTTCTTTCTTTCTTTCTTTCTTTCTTTCTTTTTTTATAGAAAGCTTTTATTTAATATAAATTTTGTAAGTACAACTTTTGGATTATAGCGGTTCTTCCCCCCATAGCCACCCTCCCACCCCCACTCCTGTCCCACCTCCTACTTCCTCTCCCATCCCATTCTTCATTAAGATTCATTTTTAATTATCTTTATATACAGAAGATCAACTCTATACTAAGTAAAGATTTCAATAGTTTGCACTCATACAGATACACAAAGTATAAAGTACTGTTTGAGTAATAGTTTTACTATTAATTCACATAGTATAACACATTAAGGACAGAGATCCTACATGGGGAGTAAGTACACAGTGACTCCTGTTGTTGATTTAACAATTGACACTCTTATTTATGATGTCGGTAATCACCCGAGGCTCTTGTCATGAGCTGCCAAGGCTATGGAAGCCTCTTATTTTTATTTTTTTTATTTATTTTTTTGACAGGCAGAGTGGACAGTGAGAGAGAGAGAGAGAAAGGTCTTCCTTTGCCGTTGGTTCACCCTCCAATGGCCGCCACGGCCGGCGGGCTGCGGCCAGCGCACCGCGCTGATCCGATGGCAGGAGCCAGGTACTTATCCTGGTCTCCCATGGGGTGCAGGGCCCAAGCACTTGGGTCATCCTCCACTGCACTCCCGGGCCACAGCAGAGAGCTGGCCTGGAAGAGGGGCAACTGGGACAGAATCTGGCGCCCCGACTGGGACTAGAACCCGGTGTGCCGGCGCCGCAAGGTGGAGGATTAGCCTAGTGAGCCGCGGCGCCGGTCTGGAAGCCTCTTGAGTTCACCAACTCCGTCCTTATGTAGACAAGGCCATAATCAAAGTGGAAGTTCTCTCCTCCCTTCAGAGAAAGGTACCTCCTTCTTTGATGGCCCCTTCTTTCCCCAGGATGTCACTCACAGAGATCTTTCATGTAGGTCATTTTTTGTCACAGTGAAAGGAAAAGGGATTTTACTGCGAAATCTAGTGGGAAGGGCAAAGATCCCAGACACAGTTCTAAACCAAATTGCTGAAATACGATGTAGAACAGCTCAGGAGCTACAGTCACAAGATCTGACTGTGTGTTGTTGGTATTCAATGGACACTTTCCCAAAAATGAACGAAAGGAAGCTCGGGGCAAATACTTGACGGTGTTGGCTGCCTGTAGGGGAAAAATTCAAGCTTTCAAGTGAAAGTTGGGATTTAGGAGAATCGTGATGAGATCAGTGTTGATGTTAAGGAATGTGGTTTCTTCATGTTATATTGAGACGGGCTGGAATGTGGAAGGTGTGTGTGACTCAGCAAGGAGCTATTTCCCAGAGTACTGGTTAGAGTCATGCAAGGACCAAGGTCACTCAGAGTGTAAGATGCACAGGAAAGAAGACGTGGCTCCAGACTCCACACTACTGCTAATCCCAAGAAGCTACCGGGGCTGACTTTTGGTGTGGTATCAAAGGAGAGGGCTCCTAATTACCTGGAAGTCTGCTTAAAACCCCTCGCTTTTCCAATTACATGTGTACGCGAGGATGAATTGTCTTCATTTATTTCAACCAAGACATAGAGCACAGTGGATTGAATGCAGAAGTAGATAGGAGAAAACAGCTGGTCTTGTACTAAGCCAGACATTTAAAATATTTGCAGAATATAAAATGTCACTCTGCTCACTAAATTTTTGTTATGAAAAACATCTTTTTCTAACTTAAAATGTTACGTAAACCTGATGGGTTTATTTTTAACTTGAGTAAATATTTTTTCAATTTTAATTCTAATATCAGTAGTCATAGATATAAGGGACTTTTTTTTTTTTAAAAAAGATTTATTTATTTATTTGAAAGGCAGAGTTATAGAGAGATGCAGAGGCAGAGTCAGAGGTCTTCTATCTGCTGGTTCACTCCCCAAATGGCAACAACAGCCAGAGCTGTTGCCAGCTTGAGTCAACTCTTGTCCTGAAGCCAGGAGCCAGGAGTTTCTTCTGGGTGTTCCACAGGGGCCTAAGGGCTTGGGCATCCTCTACTGTTTTCCCAGACCATAGCACAGAGCTGGATCAGAAGTGGAGCAGCCGGGACTCGAACTGGCATCCATATGTGATGCCGGCACTGCAGGGATGGCTTTAGCCTCTCTGGCCCCGAAATAATACACTTTTAAAAACCTTTGGGAGGCAACATTGCGATGGGTAAAGCCACCCCCCGTGATGCCAGCATCCCATATGGGCACTGGTTCAAGTCCTGGCTTCTCTGCTTCTAGTCCAACTTCCTGCTAATGGCCTAGGAAAAGCAACAGAAACTATGGCCCAAATACATGGGCCCCTGCAAACCATCTATGAGTCCTGAATGAAGCTCTGGACTCTTGGCCCCCTGGCCCAGCGCTGGCTGTTGCAGCCATCTTGGGGGCGAACCAGAGGATGAAATATCTGCCTCTCTCTCTGTCTCTGTCTCTCTCTCTCTTTCTTTCTCATAAATCTGCCTTTCAAATAAATAAATAAATATCAAGAAAAGAAAAGCTTTCTCTGTGGGGAGGAGCTGATTGTGTGGAGAGGCAGTCTCAGAGAGCAGCTGGCTTTTCATTCTGCAGGAGGGGGCACCTGGCCCTAACCCTGCGGGCACTGAAAACCTCAGCTCCCAGGTCTCCCCGCCCTCTCCTTTTGCTCCGTCAGACCTCTTTCTGCTTTCTCTACTATGTCACCCTCCCCGATGCTGCCCACTACTGTTTACTCGTCTGGCGAATCCTAATGTTTTGTGTTATGATAGACACAATACGAGCAGACATTAGGTAGGGAAGAGAGAAAATTAGAATGGAGAGCTCAGATGTCTACAAGGAATGGAGGAGCATCCAGTGATAAGAAGAGAAAGATGTGGTTGAGTAGGAGGAACAGGACCGGGTCTCGGGCTCTGTCCCCGCCCTCACCCAGGTGCTGGATGACCTTGGGCAGCTGTTCTGTCCACCTGAGCCCCCACTTGCATACCTTCAAGGTGGACATGACAGCTGCCTGCTGGGGCCCGTGTGGGAAGGAATCTAGATGAGATTAGTGCTCATGGGACCAGCACTGTGGCACAGTAGGTTAATCCTCCGCCTACAGGGCTGACATCCCATATGGGCACCGGTTCTAGTCCCGGCTGCTGCTCTTCTGATTCAGCTCTCTGCTGTGGCCTGGGAAACCAGTAGAAGATGGTCCAAGTGCTTGAGCCCCTTCACCTGCATGGGAGACCTGGAGGAGGCTTCTGGCTGCTGGTTCTTGGCTTCTGATCAGCCCAGTTCTGGTCGTGTGGCCATTTGGGGAGTGAACCAGCAGATGGAAGACCTTTCTGTCTCTCCCTCTCACTGTCTGTAGCTCTACCTGTCAAATAAATAAGATCTGAAAAAAAAAAAAAGATTAGTGCTCACAAGATTGAGCATCCAGTCCTGCTCATCTTCCCCACCTCTGCCCACCTGGAAGTATTGCTTATAACAGCGGAACATTCTGGGGCCCACAGTTGACACGCCCTTGTTGGCTGAGATGCCGGCACTGTGCACACCGTGCGAGGGATTCGCTGGAGGGCAGCTCAGATGACTGGGCGCAGCCGTCCTGGGCAGCGTGAGAAGGCGATGCGCCCGATGATTCTCATTACTTCTGTTTTCTCTCTCCAGGGATCTACATCTTCTGGACTCGACTCTGGACTATGTGAAGGTAGGAAACCAGGTGACCCCGGGTCATAGCGTTCCCGTTTGGAACACACTGTTGCCTGGTACCGTTCAGCCTGGCTTACGTAGAAAGCTGGTTAGCGCGTCTGAAACGTCCTGGAAGGAGCTGGACTCCCTCAGGCCTCTGGCACACTTCGTGGGGTCTCCAGTCACCCTCCGACAGGCAGTAGCGTGCAGGAATAGTCATCCTACAGGGGACAAGGACGCGGACAGTGGGTGGTCTCTTAAGGCTCACAATTTGAAGGTCACATATTGCCACCAAATGAGGCTGGGTTGGTTTTGCTGCCAGCTGAATTCTGTTTTAAACTTTGGTTTGTCAGAGGGTTTTGGATTTCAGGGTGATGGGTGAGGAGTGGCGGACCTGCGCTTACTGTCAGCAGAGGACTGCGGGCTCCCGAGGTTCTGTGGCCCATCCCTCTCTGTCGCAGCTGCCAGCCTCTCGCTCGGCTGCTAACCCTGGTCCACATGGGGGAACCGTGGTTACCTGTGGGGCTGCCGGCCGCTGCTGTTCAACACTGCACCCTTTACCCTTCTCACAGGGTCTTCCTGCCCCTCCCCCGCTCCCCAACGTGCATCCTACGCAGTTTTGTGTCGGTTGTGTGCTGCAGAGCATTAGGGGATGCTGTTCGCACAGGCTGTGATTGGACTTTGCGATAGGATTATGTAAATCAGAAGAGTTCTCGGAAAATCACTCTGTGACACCCTTCAGAAATTCCGTGTCTCCCACAGCAGTCCCAGCCAGGCTGCCCTCCCCACGGACACCCTCGACTGCTTATCGAAAAACTTGGTTTGGTCTCTCTGCAAAAGCCTGACCTCCTGAAAGACCTGGGGCATTTTAGGGTGGCTGTTTTAGTGTCATCTAAGTGACTGCAACGCCTTCATATGTATCAGCTGTGGTGAGTGGAGCTGTATCGCCCAGGAGGTGCCCAGCTCGGCGGCGGTGCCGCCCCCAGCTGCTCCCTGTGGGCTCATGGAAGACGATTCTCCCTGCATCAGTTCTGCACCTTTTCGGTGGTGTGTCTGCATCGTCCTGAATGTGAATGCATCAGAGTGTTTTGGCTTTTTTTCTTTCTGTCTCATGTGGTCCTTGGTTGCAAGGGTGGGCAACCTTTTTTTCCAGCTAAGGGTCATTTGGGTATTTATAACGTCAGTTGCAGGCCATACAAAATTACCAGCTTAAAAATTAACCTGGAGCAGACCAATTGAAGTTCAAGTCCCACCCGCCATTGCCTTGGCAGGGCCAGCGGTTCCCCAGCTGTGGTAGAAGGATGGATTTGGGATTTGTTGGGCCATTGTGGATGTTTTCATTGCCCTCCATGGGCTGTAAGAGTGTGTCCGTAGAGGGCCTTTGACCCAGGGGGACCCGGGGTCCGGCTTCTCGGGCCAGCTCAGGCACTTGGTGGCATTTCTAAGACTTGGTTGCCCTTTGGAGCCTGGCTGGCCTCCTGTTGGTGCCAGCCTGTGCCTTGCGTCTGGAAGGTGGTTGGAGATAAATCCAGGGAGGTAAGAGCTGTGTATAAAGTGGGGTGCAGTCTGGCCCCCTTGGCTTTGAGCAGCATCTTCCCTACCACTTGCTGGAGCACGCCTTGCCTCTTGGGCATGGAGAAAAGGAGAAGTTCTATGTGGTGTTGCATCATGAAGGCCCTTCCAGTGGGTCACCTTCAGGGTTGGAAAAAAATAGGAATCTGGATGTCACATTTTTCTGGATTTCCTGTAACCACAGAATGGAGGGCCGTCTGAACCGGCCAGAGTCCCGTCTGGGCAGTGGAAGCACCATGTGGCCCGCGGGCAGCCCTAATGCTCTCAGCAGCTCCAGCCCAGGTCTCCTGCCGTCTCTCCGTCAGCTCTTGTCCCTATCAGGACACTTTCTGACCATCTTCACCTGGTTTTCTTAGTGCCCACAGAGAAGACAGAGGCCTGGGGCTGGGGGAGGCAAGGCACTGAGGCTGACCCCATAGGTAGTAGGACTGTGGAACTGCAGTGTTGTGGCGGGGGGAGAGCATCCGGACAGAGAAAGGGTCCAAAATTCGGTTCTGCGCAGTTCATGTTCTGAGTCCCTGGCATAGCCATGGAGTGTGCGTTGTTGCTCATTTACAAAGCACGGTTCCTGGGCTGCCTCACTGGGAGGAGTCCGCCCCTTCGTGTGCGGTGAGGGGAGACCTAGGGGGCCTTTCCCTCACCTGTGCAGCAGGCTGGCCTCCTGCTGGCCCTCCCAGGAGCGCTCAGACCCGTGTGATGTTTGCACCTGATAAGAAAATTCATTGCAGATCCCAAAGTAGCCCAGGGATTTGGGTATCTTCCTCCTCACTGTCTCTTTCATTCTGGCTCTGAGAGAGGAGTCTTATTTTTCCTTTTTCTTCTTCTACTTGTTCCTTGTTTTCCCAGCTTTCTCCCTTCTCTTCCACCATTCCCCATAGTAGCTCAAAAGCATTATGATTTGGAAAGTCTGAATTTAACTGTTTTGCATCATCCTGAAGTCCTTCGTTGAAATCAAGTAGAATGGGAGCTGGTGCTATGGCGTAGTATGGCGTAGTATGACGTAGTATGGCGTAGTGGGTTAAGCTGCCGCCCATGCTGCCGACAACCCATATAAACATTGGTTCAAGTCCCTGCTGCTCTGCTTCCAATCCAGCTCCCTGCTAGTACACCTGGGAAAGCACCACATGGGATGCTGGCATCACAGGTGGCAGCTTAACACACTACATCACAACGCCAGCCCCATAACTCTGCCTTTCAAATAAATCTTTAAAAAAAAAGAAAATCCGTGTTCTCACTGTAAATGCAGGAAAACATTCCTTCCAGGCTGGAAGACGGGAGCCTCTATGGTGGCTCTGCCTTCCTGCCGCTGTTTACTGTGTCATTAATGACTTTGGTGAGTGGTGCGCAGCTCTGGAATGTTCCTCCGCGTACCTAGCATGCCTTACCCTAGATAAAGCCAACCAGTTTTTGTAGGAGGAAACAGCTTTTAGAGGCGCAATAGTGAAGTGGAGAGTGGAGTTCTGGCTTTGGGCTGCTCTACCTCCTTACTGCCCACCCTGGGCTGTGCTGAATTTTTCCTCCTCAGTAAGATTTCCACTCTGTGTCCAGTGTCTTGGGCCTGTGTCAGGCAGTTGCCTAGAGAACTTGGGGAAACAGTTGCACTGAGCGTCAGTAATAGAGACCCCCAGTGGCTGTCCAGCTGGGGATCCAAGTTGCAGTCCCCCAGCGCAGGAGCCGGGTCCCCGCCCTGGCGTGATAGGCAGTGTGGCCTTGGAGTTCTTACTACATGCTCTGCAGGAGTCCCCCCCTCCCCACAGCCAGAAAACCTTGAGGTGGGGCAAATGCTCCTGCCAGCTGCCGTTTTTAGGATTCTCTGTAACTGTCTAGGCTAGAGGCAAGGTTTTATTTGTTAAGCTGGTTGTAAGGAGTTCTTCATTACACTGGCACTCACTACTGTCAAATTGCTGTATGGACTGGAGCAAGGGTAGCATTTCCTGTGTCTTAGAAATTAAGACCAAGGACCAGACAGCTGGTAACTGCCCACCCATGGAGTTTCCTGGGCAGAAACAAGTCCTTCTGCCTTTGCGATCCACTGTTGATCCACTTTGTGACACCCCCCACACCACCCTTGAGCATGTGAAACCTTTTGTTTTCTCTCTTATCTTCCTTTTCATTTCTGTGCCGGAGCTACTTGGGGCTTCAAAATTCTTGTGTTCCCCCCACGGCCCCCGGACCAGGTTTTATAAATTTATATTAGATTATTTACTGTCTCCTTCCCCTTTACATATAATTTTCTTTGAAACTGAAGACTAACTCCTTTCAGTCTTGTCACGTACACGCCTATGGCTCTTTCAGTAAGGAGTGACTTAAAGTGGATTTGTTTAGGGGGAGACACGATCAGCTAAGTGGATTTGTTAGATGGGCTGGGGCAGAGCCTGTGACTGGCCTTTAGAAGGCGCCCTCACTGTAGATTTTCCACTGTAGACTAAACGGTCCTTCGGAACAGTAAATTGGAAAATACAGCAAAGCAGCGAAGGGAATCTGGGAGGCCTGTTGTTTTCACCGGAGCCCCGCTGGGAGTGGGCAAGTGCTTTCCCTTGGCCTGGCTGTGAACAGCACGATGCCTGCCTGTGTACAAAGGGCTGCTCCCCGGGCAAGCGTGGTCAGGAAGCAGCCCGGGATGCAGCCTTTGTTCTCAGGAGGCTCCTAGGGAGAACGGATACCTTCTTTCTTTAGTAGTCAGCTCTTCCGTGAGCTTTTGTAAGGAGACTTGCCGGCTCTGAGCTCACCTTGCAGGTCAGGAGAAGAGAGGACCAGAGTGGGGCCCAGAGTGCTGCAGTGCGGAGGAGCCCAGAGTGGGTGGGACAGTGGCCCTCTGTGGGGTCAGTGCGCCCAGATAGATGGCTCCTTCCCGGAGGTCTTGCAGATCATGCAAAGCTCAGATCTCAGCACGGCCTTTCCTGCTCTGGCTGGTGAGGCCTTAGGTCACCCAGCAGACTCAAAGAGGAGTAATTATGCGCATTCCAGCGCCAAGAATAAGTGCCCTGGCTGTTGGTAGGAGAAGGGGCTCCCCTTTTGTGCTCAAGATGGCTGCAGCCATGGTCACGGTTAAATAGCTGTCTTTGAGGGGGAAAAAAAAAAACTTTTCTCCCAGCAGGAAAACAGGCCAGCCTGCTCTGAATTAGCCAGCTAACAAAGTCCTGAGAGGGACTTACAGAGACAATGGCACGCTGTCCATCCCGTGAGATTTTAGCAAGTCGCATGGACTGAATAATGGCCTGATGGGCTGGCTCTGCAGGTTTTTGCCTGAGTGTGCACATCCGCAGGGCCAGCTCCATCCCCCTGGGACCAGGGATCAAACGCTGCCAGTGGTGAATGTGAAACAGCCCTGGCTCCCTCCGGCCCGCATTCAGAGGGAGGAAAGGAGCTCCCAGCCAACTTCTCCCACTCGTGCCAAGAAAGCATTCCCTGCAAATATTCTTGGGAGGTTTTGCGTTACTGCAGTTT